GATCCTTAATAAAAATGTACGGTCACGGAGTAGCCTTAGGTGGTGAAGATTGATGAGACCGGGGTACGGCGAGGCGCGCTTTAAGCGAACCAGGAATTTTCCTTTTCCCGTCGAATTTGCCAAAATCAGTCGACGCTAACCCCGCTGGAATTCCTGGCGGGCCGTGGCTCCCATTAATTAGCGAGTGGACGGAACGGAAGTTGGCGCTCGCTGAATGGACGTAATCGCCGGTTTCGGACGTAAATGAAAATTTAAGGCGATGCTTGGGCCGTTCTACGCGGCCCGCCCCGTAACTATTATATACTCGCGAGTCAACCGGAGGTCTCCGAGAACGCGTGGCTCCCCGCTCCGCGAGAAATATGTTCCTTTCGAGTTCCATCGGCGTGCCGGAACAACCCCGAGATACTCGGCTGTTAAATATCTTCCAAGGGAAACATTTGTACACTGTTCCACAGGAAACGTGGCAACCGCCCGTGTCGAGAGTTGTTCCGTGCAATGTCGGGTCGTTGGGAATGTCGGCCGAGTGTCGGAAGACGATCGGAACATGCATTTTTAACTTGCAGACAGTTCGGAACGCCTCGAACTTTGATTTCGAAAACTCTGAAACGTCCGTTACCCGGGAACGCTCATTCTCGCGGCCTCGCGCAGCTCCCGCCCGTGCATTCGTCCATCTCCGAGGATTCCGCGAGAGCGTTGCCGTAATTACACAGCCTCCTATTCAACGTCGCCTCTAACGCATCCCAAGACGGCAATTCGTCTCCGTTCTTGGACTCGTCGAGCATCCTGCGAGCGTCCGTCGTGTTCCAGGTGGGCGATTCCTCGCGGCTGATCATCTCGCCGGATTTATTCGTCGCGACGCTGCTGTCCCGGCACGCGGCATGGCCGGCCCGCGTCGGCGAGCCTCCTGGAATTGAAAAATCGATTACCGTATTGTTTGCATCAAGTTACCCTCCATCGGCGCTCTCCCGGCCGCGAAAAAAATAGTCCGCGAGAGCAAAACCGCCGCGTCCATATCAAACGAATCCACTGAACCTCCTCTCGAACCGAGACGAATGCAAATACCGCGGAACGCCGAGCGGAATAATATAATTGACTTCGTGGAAACCGATCGCGTCCGCGAGCGACGCGTTCGCTCGACAAAACGGGCCGATTCGCGCGGGTAAACTCGGAATTAGAGAATATCACGGGCCAACGGAGTGAAAGGGGAAGAAATAGCGAGAGAAAGAGAAACGATGGACGGAAAAGGAGAACGGAGAACCTTTGATCGCGTCCCATATCGGCGCACGATATTTTCGAAGAGTTATTGTGCCCGCGAACGAATCGATCGAGGAGCTCCAGGACGACACGGAGTTCGAGTCCCAGGCGGAAGCGCGGTGTCTCGTCAGCACGTTGCGTCGCAGCGTGTCGTGCATCTCTTGCATCTCCCTTTCGAGCTGTTTCTGGTGCTCCGCGATGATGCGCCGCTCGCGAACGCCGGGCGATAATCGAACCGACGAATCCACCAAATCCGATTCCGGCCTGAAGCGAGAAAAGAGGTACACCATTATGCGCCCCGGCAGCCGAGCAGCGGAGTCTCGGTGCCCGTTGTCGGCTCCGCGACGCTTTGACTCCGCTCTAAAGGACCGATTAATTGTAAAAGCAGACTTTGTCGCGGATGGCGAAACGTTAAAGGCGACGATTCCGAAGAAAGCGTACTTGGGTCTGTAAACTTCCCTCGGTGAGCCCGATGGATCCAGGCTGCCGGTGGCCTTTCTGGAAGCGCGAGAGGATTCCCTGGCAAGCCTTTGCACCGTATCCAGCACGCGGACCCGCTGCTCCCGCGGCAGGAACGTCGCGACTTCCTGCAAAACCTGGAATCACCGATATTCGAATTTTAAGCGACTCTCCGCCGTTGAATCGAATCCTTCGAGCATATTCGAAGGAGCTCCGTAGGAAATTTTCATGAGCCGGGACGCGTTCGCGCGAATTTCCCTCGGCGATTCTTTTCCGTTTAAAGATTCGAACGGAAGAAAGGGACGAGGGCTCGCGTCGCCGCGCGGGTCCGACAGCGGCGAAGGATTAAACTTAGTTTTGAAGCGCGAAACGCATTTTCCATAAGCATAAGGGGCGCGGGTGGGTGGGGCCGGTCTGTGGGCCGATTCTCGGGCTGTCGCTCTTTAAGTAGAAAGTTAGTTGGCACACGGAGGACGGAGACGAGAAGCAGGAGCCAAGAGCTACTCGGCTGGCTGGTATAGCTCGCGAGGGCGCTTCGGGAAAGTAAATACGTGTCCACTTTTTCCCTTTTTATTCGCCTTCGGTGGCTCCGGAGATACGTACACACGTACACACGTGCGCGCGCGCACGTCCGCAGGGTGCAGGGGACACGAGACGAGACTCCTTTTTATTCCGCGTTCAAGAGACTGTTTCGTAGCCCGGCTATTGAGCGATTCCGTGGGACGGCGGGGGCGGCGGGCGCCGGTGAAATCGTTGAAAGATATCGGGAAAAATCGTTCACGCCCCGGGGACATAATTTCATCGACGGAATTCTGCAGGCATCGATGCCTCGCATTGATAGTCTCGATCGAGTCGATACCGATACCGTGAAACGCTACCTTCTGAACGCTAGAATCACTCGTTTAAGATTTCTTCATTTACAATCATTGGAAAGATACTAGGTAAGTCGATCGACATTTTAATAGGCACGGTCGTTTGATTCTATCGTTCGATAACTCGCCTGTTAAACGAGGTTATTGCCTCGCTCCGATAGAAAGCGTGCTGAATAACCGCTCGATCGAAGAGACACCGTCGTAAACGAGCCGCGATGGATCTCCATCGTTGGAAAATCTCGTCCAGGCCGAGAAAAAATATTCTTCGAGAGAGGAACTACCATCGAAGCGATACTCGCGCGGCTTCCAAATGACGGAAGCACGCGCAGCCGGAAATTAGTTGAAGAGCGTGGCTCCGGGCGCTCTACCCGGCAGCGTCGCGGATAAACAAAGCGGGGAACGTCGTGACGCTGTTTCATCCCCTGCTCGCGTTCGATTGTCCCCGTTGGATCGCGAAGTTGGCTCGCGAAGGAGGAAGGGGAGGAAAGCGGGGGAAGAAATCCGACGATTCCGCGGGAGCGTTCCATCAGGAAAGCTTGCCATCTGACGCGTAATTGCGCGCTATCGGAACGGGCTAGGCAGGCCGTGGAAAAAAGGAGGATCGCGGGACGAGACCGATTGAACCGAGCCTTCGTCTACGCTAGCTTTCATAACCATCGTGGTTCCCATTTTAATCAATGCCGCGCTTGTTTCCTTTTTTCTTTCGCTTCTCTAGGGGAACATATTTTAATATATCTCTGGTTGGTTCCATAGATATGCAAAGCAACGCGTTGTATTTGGTGAACACAGCGAAATAAGCTTGTCCCGCGGGAGATTCGAACGGGAGAGGAAGCAACCGCCATTTATTTCGTTGGGAAGAATAGTTCCGGACGCCGACGGCTCGACCGATGGGAACGTTAATCGGGTAAGTAGCAACCGCCACGGAACCTCTATAAAAGAATCCCATTCCAACTGCGCCCGCCCCGGCACCGACACAGGAGGATCGGACGGAGTTTTATCGATCCTCCGTCGGAAGTCCCGTTCGTCGAACGCCGTAGATCTGTTGGCTTCTGAGGCGGAAGCACCCGCCGAATTGTTCGAATGTTTTATCGCTGAAACACCGGTTCAAATATTGAATCGGGGACTCGTCTGTACGATGAACGCTCGACTCCTCGCTGCGAGGAGCCTCGGCCAGAATCTGGCGATAGACGAGTCACCTTTATTCGACGAACACCGAGTCGAATACAAGAAAATCAAGGGGTTTCAACGCGAGAATCAATAGCTGATGCCTCCCTTTACAAATATTGAAAAGACGACGGATGCATCGATGAATCAATCGAGACTGAAGTGGATGCAGTCTCGGAGTTCCTATGACAAAATTGGAAAAGATCAATCCGACTTCTTGGTTCTAACGGTAAGCTTTCGGCAACCAGCGAGAACTCGCTGACCCGATCCTTTAGTTCCCTCGGATGCTGATACGTTTAAGGCCCTCCGGAGACCGAAAACCTCCAGGAAAGTCCTCGGCGATCCCTGAGATCGTTCGCAGAAGAGAGACCGGAGTCGAGAATTCGAGCGGATGGAACGATATTCCTAACGGGCCGTAAAAAAGTTTCGGCGCTCGTAAGTGCAGGATCGTGTCCCGTCGTTTGCATGACTTTCGTCCGTCCGTTTCTCGCGGCGAGCGGCCCCGGAATGGCTTCCGTCTAATTATCCGGCGGGTTAATCGACCGGGCACCCGGAGGATCCTGCAGAGAGTCTCGAAGAAAATTAGACTGTCGAACCTGTATTAAATTGCCAGATTGATGGATCGATGTGTGACAAAGAAGCCTCTTCCACCGAATCACCGTTGCACGACGGTGACGCGCGGCCTGGCAATCGGGGTTCTAGAACACCGTTCTCTTCAGGGAACTTCGTCTCTCTTTAATTCTCCTCTCCCGCGTTTTATAGTCCGTTCTCGGCCGGCGGGCACGTCGCAGTATTTTTCACGATGCGCTTTTACCGGGATCCTTCTAGACAGCGTCATATCTCCGCGTCACTCGTAGAGGAAAGTTCCGATGAATTAATTAATATTGCTCTCGGTGGAAACGTGTGCCGTTGCGAAATAAAAAATATTAGAACAATGGAATTAATTTCGAATACCTCACCTCGTCTTCGGGAGGAAACTTATCGCTGCGCACCAGAGGAAACGCGGAGCGACCCGTTATCCTTTAAGCGTTCTCAATCAAAAGTAATCCGTGACTGCGTCTCCCGATGGAGTTCGAAAGAAAGTCTCGTCGATGATTATCGCTCAACGAACGGCGCTCGCGTTTAGAAACTCCATCGGCGAGAGGTAAGCACTCCTGCAACAGTTAAAGGGAACAGCGTCCCGACGGACGTCGATCCCACGAGCGATGGGAGGATAATCGAAGCGTCGCGAGGTACGGAGTCCGCAGTTTCTTCTTTCGAAATGCATCAGCGTTGTTCGCGAGGACGTCGTCAGTCGCTATTTACCGTTACTGACCAGCAAGCGACCACTATTGACCGCTGCTGACCGGTAAGCGACCGCTGCTAACCGCTAGCGATATTGACAACAGTCTTCCTGTCGGTTGTTGCAGCGACGCGATCCTTTGAGGCGGCACGGCAAACCCGATTTTATGATCTCCGCCGTAAACCGAGGTTTCACTTCGCAGTTCCTCGCAGCCGGGCGGCTTTCCCGAAGCATTAAATCGGATTTCAATTCTGCCGCTCGAAAACCCACGAAAACCGGAAGTCTGACCCAAAATCACCGAGGAAAGGACACGCAGCTTTGAAAACATTCGCCTCTTTAATGGCCCTCTCTCCGCTCGAGTCTAATTGACGCGTCTGTAGAGATTTTTCGAGGGTTCGTTATTGCGTCCAACGTTAATTAGCCCGCGATTGTATCAAGTATAATTCGCCTTGACTACGAGGCTTTCAGCGTCGCCTCAATAGACGCGTTCCGCCGTCTCTCTTCCGCCGCGTCCCCGAAAGAAACATAATCGGTCCCGCGAGCGAGATTTAATAGAAGCCACGGTCCAACGTGTTCGTCGCATTAACGCTCATTTTCGGGCCGATTAAAAGTCAATTTATATTCCCCGGAGATTTATACGAGATGGGGGCTGGAAGGGAATAACGACGATATACCCGGCGCGGAGCCGGTTTTCTTGGCAGAGACGTGCGAGCGACGTTTAATTCGCGTTGTCAAGGAAGAAGTCTCCTGGCGGGAGATAAACGTCCCTTCGTCATACGCATGCACGTGCACACACGGCGCGCACGCCAGAGGCAGGCAGACGACGCGCTGCAACGACGGTTCGTTGAATTTTTCCCGTTGTTCCGTCCGAGATTCGACTTCGATTCGCTTCTTCCTCTCGCGTCGTTCGCGGAAATGCAAATTCCTCGAGTAGCGGAATAAACGACTCCTCGATCGGGAGGTTCCGATTCCTCTTCATCGTTCACTCATTTTCAACTAACGACAAGCCATTTTAATTTCAACGTTCTTGACCTGCACATTGAAAGCCTTTCCAGTCTAATCGAGGAAGAAAACCTTCAGAGACGCACCATCGCGAAATGAGCGAAGATATAGTATGGCTTTCTAAACGGTCAAATGAGATGTCAAATTCTGCGAGTCCTCTCATTTAACTTTATATCAATTCTGTACTGTCCGATTAAACTTTTAGCTACGCGGTCTATATATCATAAATGTGATATCACTGCGATTCGAGGCTGATAGAATTCCCCACAGTGCAATTGCGTTAGATTAGATTACAATATAGACAATTATCGATAACAGAAAAAGAATTGTGCCGCTGTAGTGGCGTATTGTTCAAAAAGGTAATATACACGAAAGCCACTATAGATCGAGCGTTTTAATTGTCCTTGTTTCTGTTTCCACTAAAAAACAATTCATCACCTATTTGAGGCTTCCACGGAATACTATGAGAAGTGTTCAAAGTTTCCAGGTGTAAACCGTGTCCATTAGGAATTGTTCCCGACCTTTCGCTAGCACTGCATCCACCAGCATCAGGAGGTTTGAGAACTACTACAATTTATCACCAACTCGTTCACCTTAATTTCGCAGCCAAATATTTCACTGGTTACAATAAGGAAAGTACCGATACAGTTAGTATTAAATCTCCTGCCAGCCGATTATGTAAACCGACGTAACGGGACGCGCGTTAAGGGAAGATCGCCGGAAACTGCGGGAGACGGTGGCAGCGAACTCCACGATTTCCTTCGAGCTGGTCGCATCGATGTTATTGTCATAGAAAATCTGGCGTCGCGTCTGATCGGCTCGACGGCGTCGCGGCGTTCCTTTTCCGGCGGACGATTGCGCGAAATTACTGTCCCGGAATTGCCTGCTCGGGACGCGGGCGCGCGCGAGCGCGTGGCCGCATCGCCGCGTCCCCGTCGGAAATCCGTGCTCGTCTAATCTAATGAAACTGCGCGAACTGTGTGTAATTAAGCTGGCCTGCGTCTGCTGCCCGGAATGAAAGCGGAGCCGAAACTCCGACGGGCAAACACCGGGACGCGAACGTGCGGGAATGCAAGTTTCACCGCGGAAATTACTCCGACAAATAATCGGCCATCGAACCGGCGCTGCGACCCGGGATGATATACTGACCGAGATGATCGGAATTGCGACGCGGCGGGACTGATTTACGTTCGGCAGTCCCGCGGGCGTCGCTCCGTCAGGAAAGGATGAGTTCGCTCTTCCTCGGCTAGCCCGGTCTTCTAGAAACCCCTCGGCGGTGGCCTCCATACGTCGTTTGAAACTGATATCGTTCAACGGGCGAGCGCGACGAACCGTAGGTGGAAAGCGAACGAATCCCATCTTTTCAGATAAGCGTATTGATTTCCACGGTAAATCGGATCTCCGATGGTATACAACGTAATAAGCGATAACTGTCTGTACATTAGAATACACGGGGGAAGCGGAGGAAACGAAAAGAGTACACCGCGCCGAGAGCTGAACTCTGGTAGCGGAACGTTAAGTGGAATAGGAACGGCCGAGCAAAGCGAAACAAGGAAAATTGAAACTCAAAGTGGCCGGCGCGACTGTTGGAAAGGGGGCAAGAAAGAGGATAGGCAAACGGAGAGCATGTAAAACTAGCGGAAAACTTACTCTGAACTTGCCGAGGGAGACCATGGCCGAGACCAGGTCGCCGGGTCCTCTGTGCCGGGCCCGCTGCCTGCACATCGCCGCGACATACGTCAAAGGGCTGGCGTCCCTCAGTTCCACGTGGCCTGCAACATCTAGCAAGAATATCGATTTCGCGACTTACGCAAATGCTCGTAGGATCCTACGGTTGGACGTCCGTACGGATGCGGAGCAGAAATTTGCCTACGTCACTGCGCGTCGACGTTGATTTAAAACGCGGAGACCGAACCGGTCTTTCGGTGCGGCTCGCACGGTTGATCTATCACCCGGCGCATTTCCGGCTCGAGTTTTACGGTGCCCGTTACCTATGATATCCTCCCGCGACACTCGCGTAAATCTTCATCCCTTCCGCGCGAGCTCTCCCGTCCGGTGCGCGCCGCGGCTTCAATACTTAATGACTCGACCCGTTATTCTATGTACAAACGCGGTTACGCGGCTGTTCCGATTCAGCTTGCGTCGTGAAATCTTAAAAGGTAGGTACTCCGTGTTGCTCTGGAGCAACCCTGCGAGGAATGGTCTAGTTGGTCAGCTATTGCTATTCAATTGCTATTCAATACCGTTACGCCAATCAAAACTATAAGCAAAGCACACAGTGGGAGACCCCTTTTGCCCCTGCGCCGATCGGAGACTCTTCTCCTGTGCAACAAAGAGTAAGGTAGTATCCTCGGACCTCGATTCAACCGGGAATGTCAGTTTACGACATTTTCGAGGTAATAAACCGATGTCCGGCAGTCGTTGGAGCGATACATAAAACCGACACCGCAACAATGGGATTGTTCCTGGGGAAGGATTTCGCCCGATAGCTCCCAGTCGACTGAAAGGCTACCCCTTCGCGCGATAACGAGTTCGCCCACGTGATAACGTTAGCTTTCTAGAATTAAAATCCTCAACGTAAGATGACGCTCATGTGACACTAGTCCTGCGTGGATATATATAGAAGAACTATCGCATGTTTCGAGAAAGACGCGACTAGAAGCGGGAGGCTTTCGCCGGCACCGCGTCTTCGACCTCGGAGATTGATCCTGCCCGGCGATTTTGCGAGCAGCGAGCCACGCACGCCGCTGGAAGGTAATTAACCTTTTTCCGGTCTGGGGAAACAGGCGCCCCAGCGCCGCAGGATATATTGGAAAAATCCCACGGGAGAATTTTTTCCTGTCGAGACTTTGCCGCTCGAAGAGCTGTAGCGTTCGCCACACGCAACTCCGGAAATAATTGATTTCTGCCGGTGTTATTAGTCGCGAGCAACTTCGTCGGTCGATGTTTTCGGGGAACGACGCCGCTCGGGAAACTGGCAACGTTTTTTCCCCCGTCCTCGAGAGCTCCCGTGGCAACGGGAACCGACGAATCGTGCTGGGGAATCTAATTAATTCTCTAAACTCGAACTCGAACCCGTGCCCGCCTGGAGCACCTTATTACGTCGCGACAAGTTTCTCGTGAGCACAACGGAACCGAGAGCCACCGGAAGCTTCCGCAGTCCTTGCTTAAGTTTGTATCTTAATACCTGATTTAGTGGAGCTCTCGCGCCCGATGTAATTACTCGTGTGTCGCTCCGCCGCCCCGTTTCTCACCGTGTATCCCATCTATCGATCTTACGCCAGCAAAAATTATTCGGCGAACAACCAACCGGAGAAAGACTCGAACCATGTTTCTTCGCTCACCCTTATTTTCACGGGGAACGTCGCTCGACTCCGACAGGGACTCGAGTATCTCGCTCGCCCTGGAACTGATCCTTTTCCTCCTCGCGATCGTGCCGACGCTCCTCGCCTTGCTCCACGTGGAGAACGCGCTCGGCCCCTTGTTCTCCGTGAACGTCAGATTGTACCTCAGCACCTTGTCCCCGGCGAACAGAATCAGCCTCAGAGAATTCCCGGAGCGTTCGATCATCTTTGTCACGCCCTCCGCCCAGCGCCAGCCCTTCGACAAGAAGTCTACGATCCCGAGAGCCGGCGATATTTCTTGGGATATCACGGATTTGCAGAATGCGGACAGGGAATGCATCTCGGAGGTGTAAGTCTCTTGCCTGCTCCGCCAACGCGAGGCGTACCAACAGTTCTCGTGCAGGCTGTAGAACAGATTGTTCAGATACGGCCGCAACACCGGTTCCAGATACTTCCTGTCGTAGTCCATTCCTTGAATAGCAAATATCGAGTACAGTGGAGGTCGCGCGTTAGCCAAGTCGACCGTAGGTTTAAAAGTGCAGAGCTAATAACAAGGACATGCCGAATCTGAGCCGCCATATCTATCGAGCGTTTCTCCTTACCCCTGTTCAGTTTTAAACATAAGGTTGACTTGGCTAATGTAGGATCTCCATTGAACATATCTTAAAGCAGGATTATTCGTTTGTAAACATAACGTGCATAAGGTTTAAACTCTTGCCTACCGAAATACAGCCACTGCAATAGAATCTTGGCCATTATCGGATGAGACTCTAGGTCCATGGCGATAGTCTCTCTGTCTGCCCTAACCTCATCGATTAAAAGAGCGACGGACCGGTCAAACTGACTGGTCGTGTTGCAGTGCTTCCCTTTTTTCAAGTCCTTATAGTACTGGTACGCCCTGGTCCGTCGATTTGTCATTGCGCGGATCTGCTCCTTGGCCTGTGTAAGGGTCAACTTCAACAGGAAAACGAGGTTCTCCGTTTGCTCGGTGATACGATAAGAAAACTCCGGGAAGTTCAGGCAAGAAGAGTTATCCGAGTGGTTCTGTGGATAACGCAAAGAGGCCGTACTTTTTTGTTTCCGGGGGGACTTAACGAGGTCGTTGTCCGCGGTTCTACCTGCGCCACGGAGTCCTTCGCCCGCAGCACTTGCTCCAAGATCAGACCCAGATATTCCAATTGCCTGTGGCTGTATCCATAATCTGCATCCGCGGTACCCCTGGGTAACGAGAACACGATCTCTCGCCACCTGACGATGAGCTCGTTTTCCAGAACGTCCAAAGGTCTGGGCACATCTTGGGCCATGGAAAGGGAACGGTGATGCAGGCTCTCTAGGTAGGACTCGAGCAACCGGCAGTCGGAGGCGTAGAGATCCTCGTGATACACTATTCCACCTACGAAGCGCAAACACGTGATCAGAAAGACGACCGTTGTCCTGGCGTGCTCTCGGAGCTCTTCGACGGAATCGCGACGCGATTGAATTGCGAGTATCGAGTTCGCGGGGCGTGTCCGCGGCGTTTTGTGTGCTTCCAAGAGAGCAGAGGACGGTGTTATGAAAAATGTTGACTCGATAGCAAACTGTATCGTCGAACAGCTTATGGACGCGTACAAATTGCCGGTACGTTCGTCGTCCGCGATAATGGTACCCGTCGTTATCGTCACCAATTAAGGATTTCCATGGAAACGAGACGATCCCATGGGTTGTGCGTGTGTCGGTGGGGGTGTTGGCGTGATATTGATTGTCCTATAGAAAAAAAATCACGGCAAAAAGGAGGATGGATCGCGCGACGAAAACAAAAGCGGCCCTCCGACGCGCCGCGCTCTTTTTTCCTCTTTTCCACCT